GGGCAAGTTTCTACCTCTTCTCAAATACAAAGATAGTAAGCCAGCATATCTCCAGGAAAAAAAGAGTTTTGGTTCTTTAGGTGTTACTTTTTCTTCTCATTTCCTGTGTAGTTTCTCTTCTGAGAAAAGGGCCCACAGATCTTGAAGAAGTATGTGTAAGAACTATTATTACACCTGTAATCCCAGGACTTTGGGAGGCCAAGGAGGGTGGATCACTTGAAGTCAGGAGTTCGAGACCAGCCTGGCCAACATGGTGAAACCCCATCTCTACTAAAAAAACAAAAAATTAGCCAGATGTGGTGGTGCGTGCCTGTAATCCCAGCTACTCTGGAGGCTGAGGTGGGAGAATCGCTGGAACCCGGGAGCTGGAGGTTGCAGTGAGCTGACATCACACCACAAGCATTCCAGTCTGGGCAACAGAGCGAGACTCCGTCTCAAAAACAAACAAACACACAAAAAACTATTAGCTCAGTCTGTTCCTATGAGAAGAAAAAAATTTGTGACATAGTGATGTCATTGTTGCAAGATTTTTCCCAACGGCCTACTATAACACCAAGAAGTTAAAGGGCAGTTGATTTAATGGACTTGTTTAGCATGATGGACAGACTTGACCCATCTTCTGAAAACTTTAGCTAAACAATACTGATCCACTTTGGAGATACTGGCCAAACAGGCTTGAAAAGGGTGACAGCAGTTATAAAGCATGTGGATTCCCTGTTATTCTTTGTAGTTGAGTCAAAGAGCACGGAATCTGAGTTTTGATGAAAGATACAGAACCAAGGCATAAAACTGGAAACAGAGGATATGGGCTGCTTTGGTATCCAAATGCAGCGGGGCCTAGAGCAGAAGATAGTCTTTCAAAACTAAGGGTTCTCTAGATTCCCACTACCTGGGGAACTTGTACTTTAAAAAAAATCCTCATCTCTCTTCCAAAGTGATGTTCATTTCTTTCACAGGCATGAGGCTGTATGGATGTTCATGACATATGACTTGCATTTACCGCAAAGGTTTAAAGAGATCCATTAATTCCAGCCTAAACAGGTTAACAGGAACAGGTTGATGGTTCTTGGGTGAAGAATGTTAAAGTCAGTTTGAAATAAAACTTTGGTGATTAAGGGACCATATTTTAATGTTTTTTCCCACAAATTTTTAAAATTATAATAATGTTAGAATTAAATTATAACAGTTCAATGAAAGAGCACTTTACAAATCCAAATTTGCCTGAAGAGGGTAATTCTGTTCCCTATCCAGACAGCTAACAGGCTCACCCACAGAAAGCAGTGTTAGTATTCACTATTGGTTTTACCGTCTTCCTACTTGCCAATATCTAGTTTAATCATCCTAGATTCATTAAACCCGTGCAACAGGGAGTTGTAAAGAATAGAAAAAAAGTTTTCAACAGGTGAATTCATCTCTCAAGCCCCACACAATTTTTTTCAGTCTCATATCATAAAAGATACTCTCCTTAATATTTGTTTCTGGAATTCTTTTTAAAGGGAAATATTAGGGCACAGCCTAGAAAAAAAAATTTGGCTCAACAGTCTTTACAAAATACTGGTTTTTGATTATGAGGAATTTGAAGGGTATAGTGTACAGTCTAGCAAGGACCTATGTACTCAGTTGTCATTCCAGTCTGTAACATAGAGTTCACATGCCAATTTATTTAATTTTATTTGTTGTATAGAGAAAAATCAGGATCATAAAGGGCTTGGGTTTGATAATTTATCTTCAATCAGACAAAAGTACTGGTGTTTCTATAAAAAGTAGAATTCTTGGCATCTAGTAAATTGCTTTAGCTCCGTGTTCCTCAACCTGCTTTCTCCTTTATTTCTTGTAAATTACATGTACTTTTTTGATAAACAAAAAAAATACTGGTGCCCTCTATAATCCATGAAATGTGAAAATAAATATAGTGACTAAAAACAAATCAATGGCACACTAATTTTGGATTTTATTCCCCCATGCTGTCACTCTTCCTACTCTGGGAATTCTGAAATGATTACCCGGAGGGACCATACTTCTCATCCCCCAATTCCAGTTGAAAAATGCTTTAGCAAATGTGCTTTCTGTGAAGGAATTCTTTGTCCCTAATTGTTATAATTTTCACTAAAGTGACTGAAGTGAAAATCACATGATTTAATTAGAAAAAAGGATAAGAAATTTATGGTTATTACAATACTATAAATTATGTGTGACAATAAAGAAGACAATAAAGAGAAATATAAAAAGAAAATAGTGGCAATATTAGAATGGTGGAATTGTGGGTATAAAGTCTTTTTTCAAGATTGTACTTGCTGATGTTATTTTTTAAAAACAAAAAGTTGCTTCAGACTATATTTTGTGTAAAGAACAAGTTGTGCAGTTAATAATTGATAGCAAATCAAGAAATTCTCAAAAGGGATTTTAAAGTTACTTTATAGTGATTCATCTAGATCATCTTAATGGTCCTCCCTGTCGTAGGTTTTTAAATTATATTTAAAAATAAGTAAAAATGTTGACATGTAGTACAGGTAGTGAAGTTTTTACTATCTTTGGAGCATTGCTTTTTCCATAAATTCTAATATTAGCTATGAACATTGTGGTCTTGACTTTTTGTTTTTTGGGAGAATTGTTTTCATGTTAGCAAATCTGGGCATATCTAAATAGCAAGAGTAGATTCGGTAATTGGAACAGCAAATGTAAACCAGAAGTTCAAAGAGACAGTGTTTAAAATATACTGACCATCTGCAGTCTGCATACCTGGCAATACGGAGGAAAGACCAGCATTTATCTTTTCATTGAAACCATGTGCTCTGTGTGCAGGAAGGAAATGCATGCTGGTCAGAGGTCAGAAGCAGGATAGATGAGGTTTGAAAGGGAATATTTACTATTGGGTTTTCCTAAACCCTTAGCCTCTTGGGAGATGTTATTTCTAGCAGACTTAGTGGAAACGTGGACAGACCCAGATCTATTACATCATAGTACCAATAGGAGATGTAAACAAGAAGCTATAGCTAGGTATCACTATGTGTGCTGAGCTAAGAGGTACAATAATAAGAAATTTAGATTTTGACCAAAGAAGTACACTGGAGGCACAGGAGGAATTTAACATCCTGGAAACTTTAGTTTGAAGAGGATCCCATGCACAAAAAAGGTCTGTAAATCATGTCCTGTGCTGAATAGTTAAAGGAGCTACTGATATTTAATGTGAGGCAGAAGAGAGTTAAAAGGATCTGACAAATGCTTTCAAAATCCAAAAGGTAGTTTGTGAAAGTAGAAGCAGCACATTTTCTGTGAACCTTTGGAGAATTGAACTAAAAACAATGTGTGGAGATAGGGAAAGACAGATTTTAGAATAATGCAAGGAAAATTTTCTTAAAGTTGGAGCTATCTGTTAATGTAGTGAGGTGGTAAATTCTGGTGGATGTCAGAGGGTAGATGTTCAGGCGGATGTTAAGAGGGAGGTTTCCATACTGTGTGGTCAGACAACAAAAAACATCTAAATTATCCTCCAAGTGTGTGTACCTGAAGCCTCTGCTTCAGTTCCCCTCCACCAGCCTGGATGTGTGATTGGGTGGCCTCCCATCGCCCTGTACCTTTACATCAATTGGTCAACTAAAGGCAGCAAAGTAGTTTTCTTTGTTTCCTTTCCTCAACTCAAAAGCACAAAAATGGCCCGTGTGTGTGTGTGTGTTCCCCTCTCTCTCTCGCTCGCTCGTTCTCTCTCTCTCTCTTTCTCCTGTCCTATACTTTCCTGTCCTTTTTGACAGGGTCTTAGTCTGTCACCCAGTCTTGACCTCCTGTGCTCAAGCGATCCTCCCACCTCAGCCTCTCAGGTGGCTGGTACTATAAAAAGGTGTGCACCACCATGCCTGGCTAAATTTTAAATTTTTTATAGAAAGAAGTCTCACTATGTTGCCCAGGCTGGTCTAGAACTCCTGACCTCAAGTGATCCTCCTCGACCTCCCAAAGTGCTGGGATTACAGGCGTGAGCCACTGCATTGGCCCTCTGTATGTGTTTCTTAATTTGTTCTAAAATGTTGTCTACTCATACTCTGGGTGTGAGATTCAGTATACCTCTTTATCACTCTTTTTTTTTTTTGAGACGGAGTCTCGCTGTGTCACCTAGGTGGAGTGCAGTGGCACTATCTCAGCTCACTGCAACCGCCACCTTCTAGGTTCAAGCAATTCTCCTGCCTCAGCCTCCCAGGTAGCTGGGACTACAGGCGCCTGCCATCATGCCCGGCTAATTTTTTGTATTTTTAGTAATGATGGGGTTTCACTGTGTTAGCCAGGATGGTCTTGATCTCCTAACCTCATGATCCGCCTGCCTCAGTCTCTCAAAGTGCCGGTATTACAGGTGTGAGCCACTGCATCTGGCCCCTTATCACTCTTTCTAAGACATTCTTTTTGCTTCCATCTGCTCAAAGACAAATATGCAACCTTCAGAGTCTCATGCAATCGTCAGCCAAAAGCCTGAAGTGAGTGGTATGGCAGGGGGAAGGGGTTGACTAGGATTCTCTTCTAAAATAGGGGAAGTATGGAGGGTGGCTTAGGGTAACATAATACATAGCAACATCACATTTTAAGTTCCTGAATTCCCTTTACTCATGCAAATGGATTTGGCAAAAGATTATTTCAGTAGAGACCCATCTTCTTCATCAAATTAATATATTTTTTAAAACCAACTAAGTGTTAGAAATAATCGGTGTTTTCAGACAGATATGTCTGGAAGTGATCATTTCTGTGGTCGAAGTAGGTATGCATTAGCCCAATCTGATGTAATAAGATTTGTACATGTGGGAAACAAAAGGCAGAATTTCTGTATTTTGACAGCAATCAAATGGTATCCAGGTATACCAAAAAAAAAAAAAAAATGGTGCAGGTCTGCCTCATTTCTTGCAACATTTTGGAAGCATTTGGCTCTGTGACACATATACTGGGTTGATGCTGCTGTTTTTCTAACATAAATTCAGAGTTTATCATCCTTTATTGACCGTATGGATCTTTTCTTCCTACAGGAATAGGAGGCCTTCAAGATTTTGTGCTGAAATCTGCAACACTGTGTAGCCTGCCCTCCTGCCCACCATTTATACCACTCAACTTCGAAGCCACTCCCATTGTGAGAGTTGCTGTTGAACCGAAACATCCAAGTAAGATAACCTTGTTTTTAAAAGCATATGTTTATTATTCTTTTAAAGCATAGCGTGTATTTAGTATGTGATTCCTCATGACTTGTTTCAGCAGTATATAATGAATTTTCATTGAGGTGTATAGTAGAAGCAACTCTTCAAAGGGCATCTAACTTCTGTCTTAGGAACATGCCGTGGTTACAGGTACCTTTGCTGTCCGGGAGACTGCATCTTCTTAATGGCAAAGACAGGGACATCTCTACATCCTCCACAACCCTGGCATAGGATTGTAGCTTAGCAAAGCTCATGTTTTGTTTTGTTTAGTTTAGTTTAGTTCAGTTTAGTTTTTGAGGTGGAGTCTTACTCTGTTGCCCAGGCTGGAGTGCACTGGCGTGATCTCGACACCACCTCTAATACCTTGGTTCAAGCGATTCACCTGCCTCAGCCTCCTGAATAGCTGGGATTACAGGCATCCACCACCACGCCTGGCTAATTTTTGTGGTTTTAGTAGAGATGGGGTTTCACCAAGTTGGCCAGGCTGGTCTTGAACTCCTGACCTCAGGTGATCCGCCTGCCTTGGGCGCCCAAAGTGCTAGGATTAAAGGCATGAGCGACTGTGCCCAGCCAAAGCTCATGTTTTAGGTGACTTCTTAGTTGGAATCTTATCTCAAGCTCCTTGGGTCAGAATCCATCATTTGCCTGTTCCCTCTAGGTTTGACAGATTATCTGGACACTGAGAATTTCCCATCTGTTTAGAAACCACTTTCTGCACCTTTCCTGCTGGCCACCTGACATTCGCATATGCCTGACCATATAACAACAACTCCTTAGTCTTTGGCTTATAGTATTTACCTAGTCAATCCTTTTGCACTTTTGTATTTCACGTCCCTTGACTATCGCTAATCCTAAATCACTGTGACTTTGCTATTCCAGTGCTAGTGATTGTCAGTGAAGAATCTCCAGACCATGCTTTAAGGAAACCAAAGAACAAATGGTAAAATGGTAGTTTTCTGTTGAGGTATATAATGGCCTCATTGCTCCTGAACATATGTATCCCTCCTCTCCCCAGAGCTAACCCTTCTGAACTCATCACTCTCTCAAGTTCTAAGACATACCCCTAGCCATTAAGGATCCCTGGAGCCCCAGGGCAGATACTTGGAGGACTGGACCTCAGACCTCTGGGGCCAGCCCTAGTAAATAGCCATCTGCCTTCAGCCTCGAGATAGGAATTTTTTGTGGCCCATCACTGTGGATTGACACAGTGCCTTGGTTGCTGCACGGATTTATCCCAGTCTATGTAAAACATGCTTCCTCTTTTAGGCTTGTCCAGATCCTGGCCTTTCGTGATTTTGTTCTTTTATTCTACTCACTAGGCTGGCTCTAACCACTGTCTACTGTGTTCAATCCTTCGAAATACATACAAGAAAGCTCAGTTTTATTTAAGTTGTGATATTTGAGTCTGGCAACCATGGCTTATTCTTAGATGTGTCTACTATTTATTCGTATCCTCTTTCTTACTTAGTTTTTCTCTATTGCATTTGCACATGCATTTTACAAATAGGAAACAATAATAATTTAAGCCATAATTTTACTTGTTTGTTTATTTCTTTATTTTGAGACAAGGTCTCACTGTCACCCAAGCTGGAGTGCAGTGGCTCAATCACAGTCACGGCTCACTGCAACCTTGACCTCCTGGGCTCACGCGATCCTCCTGCCTCAACCTCCCAAGTAGCTGGGACCACAGACACATGTCACCATGCCCAGCTAATTTTTTTTATTATTTGTAGATGGGTTCTCCCCATGTCACCTAGACTGGTCTTAAACTCCTGAGCTTAAGCAGTCCTCTCACCTCAGCCTCTTAGAGTGCTGGGATTACAGGTGTGAGCCACTGTGCCTGGCCTAAGATGTGATATTTTAATAATAGAAATTTATAATTTTTAAAAACCTTTGTTATGGTTATGTGCTACTCTGCTGTGTCTGTTATAGAAGCTAAGTAAAAGCCCAACTCTAAAGAACCAGCTTCTTTGAAGGACTGGCTACATGAGATGAAGGGTTCTAGTACCTAGTGTATTTCCTGTCCTAAAGCTGACTCATAGTAAGATTAAGTTCCTTTCCTTTCCATAAATGAGATAGTCTAATAAATAGAATTATTCAGGATTATCAATTTGGAGGCCAAAGTGTGCTTCCTCATGTGTGTTTTCATTAAATTTATCTGAACTTTGTGAAAAATAAACTTAAATGGTTAGACGGGGCACATAATTTTCTTCATAATTTTAAAAGGAGTATTACTATTTTTTTCCCATTAAGTATATTATTTTTACTGGTTTTACCATGCATTTATTGACTGTGTTACTGAAGCACCCCATTTGATTTTTCAGTGTCTGAACTTTGTACTCTTTATTTTGCCTTCTTGGTGTTTTCACATTGTCCACATGTTATTTTACATTCAGAATGTCTGGGGAAACTTCCCTTCCTTGTTCCTATGAGCTTTCAGAGGGTATTTATTGTCTGTTTACTCTTTGCCCTAGTAACTTATATCATCCTTATTTTGGGGCAGTGACCCCTTTATTCATAGGTTACATGTCTGACGACTGTTGGGATATTTCACTCTCTTATAAGACTTTCCAGTAATACTGCCTCTGAGAGGCACTGGACACATCCATTATTTTTCTTGAATAGACCACATATCCCCAGGTCCTGTCTTTTTTTTTTTTTTTTTTTTTTTTGTGACAACTAGATTAATCCAGAAGACAACAATTTGCTTCTTTTCTTTCGGAGAGAAGCAAATCATGAGTATTTGTTCTTCCACTTTTCTTTCTCTAATTTCCCAAGTGGGGATCAAAATGTCATGGCAGCCACCCTCTACTTCATGCCCACAGGTCAACTACAAACTCAACACAGAGAACTACAAATGTTCCAAAGCAATTATTATTTTCTTCATTATAATTGATCCTTACTGTATTCCACACACTGTACTAAGGATTTTACATTGATTATCTCATTTAATCCTCCCAAAAGCCCTGTTCATTAGGATACTCTTTTTATTCTCATCTTCACAGGAGGGAAACTGAAGCTTAGAGAAGTTAAATTAATTTGCCCAAGGCCATACAGTTAGGAAGCAGTGAAGTCAGGATACAGATCTCTGCCTCAGAAACAATGCTAGATCTTCATTTGTGGGAATCCAAGAAATCCTATTTATCTGAGATCAGAGTAATTTGTTTCTGGAATTGTTTTATCCTTTATCCATATTAGTTAAAAAAAATTTTGACACCTATGCTTATATAGATAGATGAATTTCTGTGCTAATTTTTTATATGCATTATGAAACACAAAATAGAAATTATTTAAAAATTGAGTTGAAAAATCAAATACCTAATTTTATTTGTATTTGATGAAGATACATACAGTATGTACATATAAGTATGTATAGTATTTATTTGTGATTGTGGCTTATAATTATTTTAGTTATCTAATACTGTGTAATATATTACTTCAAAATTTAGTGGCTTGAAACAACACTTATTTTTCCTAGTTCCCTTGGTCTGGAATTTGGAAGGGTTTGGCATTGTGTCTCTCAAGTAGTGGTAGTCATACATCACCTTGGGCAGTAGCCATCTGAAGGTTTAACTGTACTTCCAAACATGAGCTCACAAGTTAGTGCTGGCTGGGGACCTCAGTTCCTCTCCACATGACTGTTTGAGTGTCCTGCAGCATAGCGTGGTGATTGGCTGCAGCCAGCGTTCCAAAATACTAAGGCAGAAGCTATAATGCCTTTTGTGAACTAGCCTTGAGAATCACACATCATCCTTTCCACAGTGTTCTGTTGGTCACACAGACCAGCCATGGTTCACAGTTGGAGAGAGCTGCACAGGAATGTGAATATCAGGAGGCAAGGATGATTGGAGCCACCTTGGAGGCTGGCTACCACAATAATGCTTCCTTCTTTTTGAAGGTCTTGCCTGAACACTTTGTGATATAGCCATTCCAAGGCCAGCTCCTAGGTTCCATTTGTTAAAACACTTGATTTTAATGACCATTATCACTGGAAAAGCCACCTCACAAAGTTAGATAGTCCAAAGGGAAGAATGATTCATTGGCTTCCTTTACTAAATCATGGTATCCATTTTAGATTCCCATTTTCCCAATTATTAAAAGGTTTTGGTAAAATGTAGCTAGTGACTATCTAGTTTTCCTGATGGCAGTCCATTTTTCTTATACTAATTAGAAGCTTTGTTAATTCTTATATCTTTATTAAACTATCTATTTGGTGATTTTAAGAACAGGTTAAGAAAATCACCCTCCAAATTTTAAGAGATTTTTATACATTATACATGAAGTATTTATGTTATCTTCAGCAACCAAATGACTGTCAGTGGCAACATTTTCAAACACCTAATTTCTAAATGTTGTCTCCATGTTTCAAATTTCTTTTGGAAAAAAAAAAAAATTTTCTTATTGTTAAACTGTTACTTTTATTTTACCTTGAAGAGACAAATTTAAGTGTATATATATTTTTTCAAAAATATTTGTTGGGATCTCATCTTGGTGGTAGCCATTGTTTTTACTTTATAATTTGTTTGATGGAGAGCTGACAAAAAGCCTTGCCATTCTTTTTTTATTATTCCCATGTGCTTGTGTTATTAGTATTATAGTATTGTCAGTGATATCTTTGCAGGAATCCATTTAAGCCAGGTTTAAAATTCTGTGAAGGCTTAGTTAACACTAGATAATATCTGTAAATCCACTTATTAGGCAAAAGAAAATTACAGCATGCCAAGAAGGAACAAATGAAGGTGCCTCTGTCAACCCTGGACACAGTGAAATCCTACTTCCCGTCTTCCCTTGGAATTCTGTGCATTCCATATGTGGCTTTTGATCACCTGACCTACAAGGGTGCTGACATCCATCCACAGAGCATGAGCTCTGTGGCTGGCTGCCCAACTTCTAAACCAGGTTCTGCCATTTAGTTAGTCTGGGACCTTGAACACAAGTTTATTAGTTTCTCTATACCTGTTTCCTCATCTATTAAATGAGAACAATAATCATACCACCTAATCGTTAATGAGCTCATATATATAAATTGCTTGTCTGGCACATTGTTAGTGCTGTGAAACGTTAGTTATTATTAGAACTTTATTTCAAAAATAGATAGGTATAGAAGTTCTAATATTCCTGCTCCCAGTTAATCAACTTTTATAAGGCATGTTGAAAATCATTGCATTGCAGAAAGTTCCTGTGATTTTGTCTTTTTGGCATGCTGAAAACCAAGCATTGAGGGATTGCTAAGTCTTTTCTTCAAATGTAGAACTGAAACAAGACTGCATAAAAATGTCTTCAAGACCAAGGCTTCTGCTAAGGCCACTGCAGGAGACTTCCTTGGACCTGCCTTGAGGGAGCAGTAGCAGTTGGGTATGTGGAAAGGGGGTGAAAAAGTAGCTAAACCCAAGATGTAGGTCATAGTCCCCATCCCTACTCTCAATTCCCAGGAACTATAGGGTAAAAGCAATTATACGTGAAAAACACGTGCAGAATACAATGCAGAAGATGCCTTTAGCTCACTAGGTAAAGTAGCTACTTAGGGTATTCTAAAACCCAAGTTCTATCGAGCAGTTTCACAAATAATTATTTTTAATATGAGGCTCTGGTACAGTTTCTTGAATATTATATTAAATGTTTCTGTTGCTTATTTGTTGATTTTATAGGTGATGTTTGAAGAAATGCTCTGTTTATTTTCTAGGTATATAATGTGTACATTTGTTACAAGATTTAGGTGAATTCACAAGTAGAAAGATGGAAGCTTATATCTGCAGAGTATTTGAAGAAGTAATATAGATGAGCTTTGGGAGTCTTGATGATAAGCTTGCGGATGTGTCATGTTTGCTATCTGTACAAAAAAATTACTAGAAGGTAGTTTTCTTCATGTCACTGCACTATCTGGAAGAAAAATAAATTGTTGTTTTAAGAGTTTATTTCAATGTAATTTTCCCTTGAGTAGCCAGAACCATTGTCTTTGAATTGTGTTAGTTCTTATATCATATTTAATCTATTTCATTTTTTTAACCTAGGTGAAATGCCTCAGCTCGTAAAAGGAATGAAACTGTTAAACCAGGCTGATCCCTGTGTCCAGATTTTAATTCAGGAAACAGGAGAGCACGTTTTAGTCACAGCAGGAGAAGTCCACCTTCAGCGATGCCTGGATGACTTAAAAGAAAGGTTAGGTGAAAATGATAGTGATGGAGAAATGATAGCTCTCAATCAGTGGGATGTTTTAGTGTTTCCTAAACCAGTTGAACTTAGACTATGGCTTATTTTTGGAGAAAAATGAAATAACCTCAATTCAGACGTGAACAGTTATTCGATTGTAGACTTAATTTTTAATAACTGAAAACTGGCATTCACTGCCTACACTTGAATAATTTTGCATTTTTAGCTTAAGTCATAAAATGTTTTTCTGTATATGTATTTTACTTTAAGCATGTACACAAAACACAAAATACCACGACAACAAAACAAAATATTATTTTGTAAATGTTGGCTATGTAATTAGGATAGACTTCTCTTATTGATGTAGTCTTTACAATGTAAACCTTCTGGAAATCTTTGTATTTTTCTATAAAGACAATATGTGTTATAAAATGGGCATCCCAAATTTTTATAACAGGCATTTTTCCTCTTTGTTGCAAAGATAATGTATGTTTATTGCAAAAATTAGGAAAATACAGAAGAAGAAAAAGAATCATTCAGTTACCATGCAGAAATAACCACCATTACATTCAGATTCCTAAATCCACACTGTTCTATGCATATTAAAGTATACACAAATATTTATATACACAGTTCTGATTATTTGGTTAAGATAAACTTCCGGAAGTATTATAGCTAACTCAAAAAGTATGCATATTTTTAAGTGTTATGATCCATATTTTCCTCAAGAAAGGCTGTTCTAATTTACATTATAACTAGCAATAAATATTGGAAAGTGCCTCTTTTCTCAAACTTTTGCAACTTTGCATAGTTTATCATTTTTTTAAAATGTCATCAGTCTTGAAGACAAATGAAAGATATTCACAATTAATACACATTTCTGTGCTTACTAGTAGAAAAAATTAGAAATTTCCCTGTAATTGCTGTCCTTCCTTTTGTTTTTAAAATTTCTGGGACTATAATCATAATCATAACAAATAATAATTATAAATGATTGATATAATTATATATTAAATATTATATAACAGTCACTGTGTTAAGCACTGTTTATCTCACTTAATCTTTATACCACAGTAAAATTGGTGGTAGTAGTAACTATACAACAACACCTGGCACTAATAATAGAACAAGAATAACTGCTGCTGGCCGGGCGCAGTGGCTCACACCTGTAATCCCAGCACTTTAGGAGGCCGAGGCGGGCAGATCATGAGGTCAGGAGATCAAGACCATCCTGGTGAAACCCTGTGTCTACTAAAAATACAAAAATTAGCTGAGTGTGGTGGCATGCGCCTGTAATCCAGCTACTCAGGAGGATGAGGCAGGAAAATCACTTGACCCGGGAGGCGGAGATTGTGATGAGCTGAGATCATGCCGCTGCACTCCAGCCTGGCGACAGAGGAAGACTCCATCTCAAACAAAAAACAGAATAACTACTGCAGCATTTATGTAGGATTCTGTAAAGCTTCTACCAGATGCCAGAAACTAGACCCCTACCTCATAATGTACTCAAAAATTTATTTCAGGTGGATTCTTGGTTACAATGTAAAAGGCAAAACCATAAAGTGTTTAGAAGATAGTATAAGAGAATATCTTCAAGACCTCAGGGTAGCAAAAAGCTTCTTAATAGCATATTAAGAGCACCAATGACAAAGGAAAAGCTTGATCATCAAAAGACACTATTAAGATAATAAGGAGGCTGACCACAGGGTTAGAGAAGACCTTTGTACTACTTGTAACAGACAAGAGACTTATATCCCCAATATAGAAGGAATTCCTACAAATAAATGAGAAGGGCAGCAATCCAATAGAAAAACTGTACAAAGACTTGAAGAGCTACTTCATAACAGAGGCTTCCAAAGGCCAATAAACATGAAAAACTATTCAACTTATTCAAAATCAAAGTGAGATACTTCTGCATACCCACTAGAGTGGTTAAATATTTTTTAAGTGATGTTATCAAGTGGTGGCAAAGATGTGGAACAACAAGAATTCACCTACGCAACTAGTGGGAATATCAATTGGTATAACTATTTTGGAATATAATTTGGTATGGTCTGCTAAGATGAGAGATAGGCACTTCCTGTGGCTTGGCAAATCTCCCATTTGTACTCTATATATACACAACACAGAGCTAGGCAAATGTGCACCAAGAATACTCATAGCAACAATTTTTTTTTTCTTTTTTTTTTTTTTTTTTTTTTTTTGAGAAAAGGCACTCACATCGCTCAGGCTGGAATGCAGTGGTGCACTCTCAGCTTACTACAACCTCCACTTCCTGGGCTCAAGCAATTATCCTGCCTCAGCCTCCTGAGTAGCTGGGACTACAGGTGTGCGCCACCACGCCCAGCTATTTTTTGTGTTTTTAGTAGAGATAGTGTTTCAGCATCTTAACCAGGCTGGTCTCAAACTCCTGACCTCAAGGGATCCACCCACCTTGGCCTCCCAAAGTGCTGGGATTACAGGCATGAGCCACCTTACCTGGCCTCATAGCAACAAAATTTTAGTAGCCAAAAGTTGGAAACAACTCAAACATTTAAATGCATAAATAAATAAATAAATAAATAAATAAATAAAGATATATTCATACAATGGAATTCTATAGAATGATCTCAGTGAACAAAACAACAGGTATATAAAACATAGGTGAATCTCACAATATAATGAGCAAAAGAAGCCACTTCACTTCCCCCAAAAAGTGTTTGTTTGTATTTATATGAAGTTCAAAACGTACTGCACCAGGTTGGATAATATAGCAAGACCTCATTTCTAAAAAAAAATAAATAAATTATTCAGGCAGGGCAGGTGGTACATGCCTGAAATACCAGCTACTCAGGAAGCTGAGGCAAGAGGATTGCTTAAGCCCAGGTGTTCGAGGCTGCAGTGAACTATAATCACACCACTGCACTTCAGCCTGGGTGACACAGTGAGACCCTGTTTTAAAAAAAGAACAAAAAGAAACACAGTCCAAACCGAACTGTGGAGTATAAAGGGTTACATGTTTAGGTGATTTCAAAAAAAAAAAAGAAAGAAAAGGAGGATATTACAATAAAAATCAGGATAGCAGTTACCTTCATACTTCATGGCATTGGGAAAAGGCAGCCTGGGGCCCTCTGAGGGCTAAGAATGTTCTGTTTCTTGACTATACCATGTAGTTTACATGGGTGTTCACTTTGAGGTAAGTTATCATAGATCAGTAGATTTTTGTTTTGTAAACTGTTCTATATGACTATTACATTTCATAATTATGCTTACATTAAGAATGTGTATAATGTTATAGAATTTTTTTAGTTCTCATAGGACAGAGCCTACCTTTTGGTAGTATATAATCTTTTTCAACTTCTACACACTTTTTCAGGAATAGACTATGTCCAGGAATGGGAGACAAGGAGACTATCTGTTGTCTCCAGGCCAGAGAAACTGTCAGAATTCTTAGCATCCAGATCTCAATGTAGTAATAATCAGAGCAGGAAGCCACAGGAAATTGCCATGATGTAGCCTGAGCCTACTGCCCTTTTTTTAGTGTAATCAGAGGCTCTGTATTGCTAGGACTTTGGTCCTGAGGTGCTTTGTAAATGTGGCAACCATCACACACTTCCTTCTACAGCTTGGAGTGGTTTTAATTAATCATATAAATGATTACTACAGGAGACTTCTTGGGAGCCTCAGGAATTAGAACGACTAAAGTAGCTCATAGCTTTTTTGACTGTGTTACAGGAATAAGAGGGCAGTGTCGTAGATGTGTACTCTCTCGTAGTTTCAGTAGCTTTGCAGTTGATTTTCTTGAGTGTTCTAAGTATATGAGCATATTTTCCCTATGTAATGATAATTTTAGAAATATTTTTATTTTCCTAAGATTTTTAAGTTACTTTTTTCTTAAAATCAAGAATAGGTATTGAATCTTATTGAATGCCAATTTAGCATATTTAAAAGTGGCTACATAGATTATTGACATTTTTAATGTGGTATTATTTTAACAGATCTTCTAATACAAATTAATTTTCATATAACCTATAATACAAACTTTGTAGTGTTGTGATAAATTATTCCTTTAACGTACTGTGTAACTCCATTTTTCAGTATGGTATAATGACCAAGAGTGTGGATTCTGAAGTCAGACCTAAATTTGAATCCTAGCTTCTCCACTTACAGGCTATTTGGAGAAGTTACTTAATATTTCTTATCTGGTTTCCTCTTCTACAAAATTAAATAGTACTAGTGCCTACTAAAAAAATACTACATGTAAAACACTTAACACAGTGCCTCATACATAATAAGCTTTTTTAATGCACACACCTGCATATCCTTAGTTTTTGTTATTTTATCTTAGATTTTATATCTGAATTCTTAGGTAAGATTGAACTACAGTTTTGTATATGTATACTGTCTTTGTCAGGTTTGAATATCAAAGTAGTTTTAAAAACATACAATGTCCAGTCCATCTTGTTGTATATCCTGTGAATATATAACAAGATTGTAAATATGCAATATACAACAGTATCAAACTTGATATTATGTGGAAAAAGGGGCTTTCTGAACTTGATGGCAGACTGGGGCTCAAGAGCTATGATGTCCAGAAGAGTAGCTACTACCCACATACAGCTGTTTAAAATCAAATACAATTAAAAATTTAGTTCTTCAATCATACAAGCCACATTTCAAATGCTTAGTAGCCATATGTGCCTTTTTAAATTTAAATAAAATTAAAAATTTATTCAGTTGTACTGGACACATTTCAAGGGCTCAGCAATCACAGTAAACATATAGAACATTTCCACCATTGCAGAAAGTTCTTTTGGAAAGTGCTACTCTAGACAAACTCATAGATCATGCTAGCCTTGCTATAAGCCTCATTATCAAAACCAAATACATTGTGAAGATTTGACTAGCTATCCTGAGGTTCTGTGATTCTATGTCTATTTAGAGTTTTAATCATTGAGCTTTTCTTGTCCACACTCTTAGATTGGCAAATACTGTTTTAAAGAATTCATATTTCATATATTAAAACGTTTATTTTCTGCTCAAAACTTTCTTATCTAAAGGGGTAGTTTATATATCTTGAAAATGAAAAAAAAAAAAAAAAGAGTGAAATTCCAGTACATGCAAGGATTTCCCTGGAGGTATATTCCCATTAGAAGTAGTCTTTTCAACCAGAAAGAAAGCAGTTTTTGAATTGTGATATAATGTAAATTGCAGATCTTTCATAGTAAGATAATTTTTATGTTCCTATGTTTTTACAGAATCTCCACTGTGTGATAATTTCTACACAGGAACTTTGATGCTGTTTTGATTTTAACCTTCTGTTATTTCTCTTGAATTTGTCTGTAGGTTTGCAAAGATTCATATCAGTGTATCTGAACCTATTATTCCATTCAGAGAAACAATCACAAAACCCCCAAAAGTTGACATGGTCAATGAAGAAATAGGCAAACAGCAAAAAGTTGCAGTCATACACCAAATGAAAGAAGATCAAAACAAAATCCCTGAAGGAATCCAAGTTGACTCTGTTGGGCTAATCACCATAACAACTCCCAATAAACTTGCCACGCTCAGTGTTCGAGCCATGCCCCTTCCAGAAGAAGTCACCCAGATTCTGGAAGAAAATAGTGATTTGATTCGTTCTATGGAGCAGTTGACATCCTCTTTGAATGAGGGTGAAAATACTCAGGTGATTCATCAGAAGATCCAAGAGAAAATTTGGGAATTCAAAGGAAAACTAGAGCAACACCTAACAGGGAGAAGATGGAGGAACATTGTTGACCAAATCTGGTCATTTGGCCCAAGAAAATGTGGGCCCAACATACTAGTCAATAAAAGTGAAGATTTTCAGAACTCAATATGGACAGGTCCAGCAGCCAAAGCTTCAAAAGAAGCTAGTAGATACCGAGATTTGGGCAATAGCATTGTGAGTGGCTTCCAACTGGCAACCCTCTCTGGCCCCATGTGTGAGGAGCCTCTCATGGGTGTCTGTTTTATTCTGGAAAAATGGGACCTAAGTAAATTTGAGGAGCAAGGAGCAAGTGATCTGGCAAAAGAGGGACAGGAGGAAAATGAAACCTGTTCTAGTGGAAATGAAAACCAAGAGCTACAAGATGGCTGCTCTGAGGCCTTTGAGAAGAGGACATCCCATAAAGGAGAATCTCCACTCACTGACTGCTATGGACCTATCTCAGGACAGCTAATTGCCACCATGAAAGAAGCATGTCGCTATGCACTGCAAGTGAAACCTCAGCGCCTCATGGCAGCCATGTACACATGTGACATCATGGCCACCAGTGATGTTCTCGGTAAGGAAGAAAAGGTAAAGATAGTAAGAAATGCCCTGAATAACAGTGAAGTCTCCTAGACTCAAAATCTTGTTTTTGAGACAAAGTCTCATTCTGTCACCCCAGCTGGAGTGCAGTGGCACAGTCTCCACTCACTGCAGCCTCTGCCTACCAGGCTCAAGCAGTCCTCTCACCTCAGCCTCTCAAGTAGTTGTTACTACGGGCACACACCACCATGTGCAGCTAAGTTTTTTGTATGTTTTGTAGAGATGGAGTTTCACAACGTTGCCCAGGTTGGTCTCGAACACCTGAGTTCAAGCGATCCCCCCACTTTGGCCTCCCAAAGTGCTGGGATTATAAGCGTGAGCCACTGCACCTGGCAGACCCAAAAATCTTAAATTCGTTTAGTATGTTTTGCAGAAGCTATACCATCTTCTGATTTACTAACAAAATAAGATCTTTGAAAGCCAGATGTCATAAATATTAAAATCTTGAGAGGGGAAAAACTTGACTACTAAAGATCTTTTCTTTTGCAACAAATAGAATCCTTTCTGTAATGAGAGGTCTGCTAAATGAAGTTTAAACTGCTCATATGTGTTACCATCCAAACCTGTGCCGTATTTTATCTCAAGCAAATAAGCGTATCAGTCTGGGTAACCAAAGTTGTTCTGAAAATGATCAAAGAATAAGGCAACAGTCTTGTACTCATAACACAAAAGGGTTTTTGTGAATTCTGGGTTCTTTCTGAAAAAGAAAATTATTTGGGGCTTTAGTCACTACTAACTATTATATCAAATCCTATTCCTGATTTTTTTCTCTTTGGGAGAAGCAGCCTTTAAGATTTCAGGAGATGTGAAGCCCTGGCACTTAGTAGCTCTTTGGACTTTTGACTGATATTAGTTCACTGAAACTTACTTTGTTTACATATAATGAAGAGGATAATCATACAGATTGTGAAGATTAAAATAACACAATTTTTTTAAATACAGTTCCCAGAACAGCACTTGGCACACAGTAGTTCTCTTATTCTCTTGAGATCATGGAACTGTTTCAGTAGTGAAGAGAATATAAAGGAGGATTGAGCCCTGGATGAGAGAGTCGGCCAAATTATTAAGTTTCCTCTAACCCTGAGGCCCTTTGAGTCAATATGTAGTTAATTACATTCTTTTTAGGAAGGTTCTTTTGCTGATTAATTCCTGAAAGCAGAAATTTAAGCTTTTTTTTTTTTTTTTTTTTTTTCCAGAAGAAATTTAGGCTTGCATCACATTAAGGTTTTTGTGAGACTAACTGAGCATCAGTAGCATCATTTGAAAAATAGCTGGGTTAAGGCCACTGTGCATTGTGAATCAAATCTCCAAATACGGCATGTCATATACAGTGCTTCTCAACCTTATTTGAATACAGCATTCGTATTAACAGCCATGGAATCTGTAGATTTGTTTGGGAAACACCAATCTAGACTATTCTCAGATGCTATTTTTCATTTTCATTGAGAACTTTCTTAATTTAAGAAGGCGGAAGTAAGAGTTAAAAATCAAGAAATCTTAATCCCTCACATCTTTGAAGAAGACCTAAGACCTTTTCTCCAGTCTCTCCTACCCCGACAAATGCTTATACCACCACTGTTTGAATACTTCTGTTGATGGGCAGTGCACAGCCAGCTTCATGATTTAATGGTGTTTTTTCCTATATTGAGCAAAATGTCCATCACCTGCTACTTTCCAGTCATCTGTACCACCATTCATCTGTCTTCCATGCAATAACACTTCTATGTATTTGAAGGAAATCATTAGTTTTCTAGTTTTATATCCAGGAGAAAAACTCTCCAAATCCTTCACCTATTTTTCTGTTATGATTTCTGTATCCTTTCACCATTTCAGTTGCTGTCTTTTGGACATAATTTATTTGGTCAGCATCCCTCTTAAAGCAACTGTATTTGAACACAGCACCTCACATACCGTCCAACCAGTAGAGAACACGTCTGTGTCTACACTGTTACCTCCTACGTGAAATACAGCATTCTTCTTTTAATGAAATTTAGCAATTACATCTTCTCATTAATTCATGTGAGAAGTCAAATCAATCCCATTTCTTTTAAAAAAAAAAAAAGTTATGTTTTCCTACTCTGTTCCCCAAAGAGCAGAATCAAATTTTTGGTAATTGACTAGACTGTAGAAATTATGTAGTTGTATGAACTCCTATATTTTATGTATGAGTACTAAGTCTATCTACTTAATTTTTTTCTTAAGTTATATAACATAATTAGCGTTACAACAGTAAAAAGAAAAATTTTAATGGCAAGAAAAAGAAGTCACATCATCACCATCTTAACACATTGATTTCTTACTCATTTTTTTCATGTGTCCTTGTCTGATCAGAAATAAAACTCAGGTAGAAAATCAAATGTTTTGATGAAGTTAAGGTCCTTTACATCTTCAACAGTCCCTGATAATTGGTAAATTATCAGCTTACCAATCATGTTAGAAAAAAAAAAAAAAAGCTTAGGTTAATGTTTTGTATTAGAAAGTTCATGTTGTCTCCCAAGATTTACCTCATACTTGTATAAACATGAACAAATGCCTATAATGCTTCTTTAAAATTCTACAGAAAATTAGCATATGGCTTTCTAGTCTGCAATTTATGGAACCCAGTGTTTATATCCTCAAAAAGTTTAGTCATTATTTACCTTTTTCCTGTAGTCTGGTACCTACCTTACTATTTCTAATTTCTCAAAAGGGCAGATTCTCTTAACATTGTGAGATATAATTCTGGTCCTGGAGACTTGAACTCATTTAAGAAGGCTAAGTACTTAGTCATCAACTTCTGAGCTATCCTGAACTTCAGTGTTCTCCCACTTCAGCTTGTTCCCCCTTGCTGTAGTTTGTTCACCATTCTCCTTACTGAAGAGAATGATAGGTAACATAGGTATTGTGAACCCCTGTTTTCATGCTATCCTCTGTAACATGATACTAATTTCTGTAAGTTGTACATAAGACATGTCTCCTTATTTTGAAAATATAGGTTGAGAATCCCAAATCTGAAAATCCAAAACCCCAAATGATCTAAAATTTGAAACTTTTTTTTTTTTTTTGAGATGCAGTCTCACTCTGTCACCCAGCCTGGAGTGCAATGGCATGGTCTCGGCTCACTGCAACCTCCACCTCCTGGGTTGAAGCAATTCTCCCACCTCAGCCTCCTGAATAGCTGGGACTACATGCGTGTGCCACCACACCTGGCTAATTTTTGTAGTTTTAGTAGAGACGGCATTTCACTATGGTGGACAGGTTGGTCTTGAGCTCCTGACCTCATGATCTGCCCGTCTCAGCATCCCAAAGTGCTGGAATTACAGGTGTGAGCCACCACACCCAGCCTGAATTTTTTAATTTGAGATGCTCAAACAGTATATAATACAAATATGCCAAAATCTAAAACAATAAAAAATCTGAAACACTTCTGGTCCCACTCATTTTGGAGAAGAGATACTCAACCTGTGTTGGAAAAAGCTCTTTGCACTGTCTTTAGCTCTTTTGCTTGGGTACATACACTCAGCTTGTTCTGATTTTGAGCATCTTGGACATGCTACTGATCTACCTGAGTTGGTATCCTCTTCTTCCATCTACTGTGCATGTCCTCTTAAAATAGGGGTTGGGGAGGGGCTTTCTTCCTTTTTCTGTCATTGTAATCATTCATGATTGATTTCTTTTAGACTCTCATTACTCTGTAAAGGAATTTTATTTTAGGGACTGTTATCCTAGAACCCATTGTGTATTGGTTGTATTTTTTTTTCTGTGTTTGAAATGATCTTTCCTTTTTTTCTTTTTTTTTTCCTGTCCTCTGTTGCCCCAGCTGGACTGCGGTGGTGCGATCTCGGCTCACTGCAGCCTTCTTCTCCCAGGTTCAAGCAATTCTTCTGACTTGGCCTCTGAGTAGCTGGGATTACAGGTGTGCGCCACCACGCCCAGCTAATTTTTTTTTTTTTTTTTTTTTTTTTTTTGGTATTTTTAGTAGAGATGGGGCTTTGCTGTTTGGCCAGGCTGGTCTCGAACTCCTAGCCTCAAGTGATCTGCCCATCTCGGCCTCCCAAAGTGCTGGGATTACAGGCATGAGCCACCACACCCGGCCAAAATGATCCTTTCTGAAGTCCAGGGCCCACATAGGTCTGTGCCTATCCTTTCTCTCAAGATAATGGGAACATGTATTTCCTCCCAAAATAATGGGAGCACCTGTTTTCTCCCCAGATTGCCATCTCTTCTACATTATTCATTTGGAGTGGCATTTGTCCTTTGTTTTCTGAGAAGATGAATTTTCAGTACAACACGTGAAGCCAGAATCAGCTGTTGGTGTTTATCAGACTGAATTCCTAGCAGAGTGTTGAGTCACCCCTGTTGAGTCACCACTCTGTGTTCATTTTCTCATTTCTATTAGGAAATCACCACCTGGATACAGCATGTGACCAGGCCACCCTGGGATAATACCTCAAAATATCATTTGTCATCTTATCCTTATATTTTTATCCTGGCACTCCCCACTTGGCCATCAGAGTCAGTTCTGCCGCTTTCCAGGAAGAAATATGTATTTTAACCCTCTCTCTCTGGAGCAAAGGATCATTTTGACTTGCCTCACCCAGGTACAAATGTCACTGTATTGGGCCTCACTGCCCTCTAAGAAGCCCCATTTATTTACCTTCTGTGTGGCAACTGTGTGTATGTGGGTTGGTATGCAGTCTCTGTACCATTGTCACTGGTCAACTTTCTTAATACTTTGCCCCTGAGACCAACCAACTACCACATCCACTGCCTTACATTTGGAGACAGTCTGGCTTTTTTTTTTTTTTTTTTTTCCTCTCTCTCAAATTGATTTGAAGTCCTCTTGCTTAGACTGGAGAATCTCCTCTGAGGCCTGTTTTCTTTTTGTTTTTGAGGGGCTCTTTTATATTGATAACCAATTTCTAGTGTCCAGGGTCTATCAATGCAGTCAGCCGTTCACTTGTGTTTTCCTTTTTCTTTCTAAATCAACACCTTCAATTGGAAAGAAA